TTACCTCTTGCCAACGACACCTAATTCAGTCTCAGTGTGGCCGCCCCTTCGCTATCCATCCCTAAGCACCCAGCAGAAGGATAATAATAGGGCTCCCTAACCAAGTCCTCTGACTGGATGTCGGATTTCTTTCGGACTAAAACTATTCTCAACTATTTATAATCAGGAACCTCACGATCGCTTCAGCCTCACCTCCTTTGCTGCCAAACACAGCCCCTCCTCAGGAAAAAACCAAAAGCATGAATTTGCTCTAGTGGCATGATGTCACTAAATGAGTTCCTTTCCACCTCTGGCCCTAAATTCTCTCTTCAGATCTCTGTGCCTGACACACTCCTCCCACACCCCACTTCCTCTGGGAACCTCTTCCCGAGAGTCCATGCAGGATAGACAGCACATCCAGGACACACTCGTGTGCACCCTGGGGACTGTCTTCTCTTTTAACCACTTGCTGCTTTGGCTTCAGCCTAGCAACCGCCTTTAGAACCACTGAGTCTGAACCCACCATAAGAAATACACTGTATGGGCTGGAGAGATGGCTCAGAGGTTAAGAGCACTGGCTGCTCTTCCAGAGGTCCTGAGTTCAATTCCCAGCAACCACATGGTGGCTCATAATCATAATGGGTGGAGCATAATGAGATATGGTCCCCTCTTCTGGCCTGCATGGATAATGCAGGCAGAACTCTATACATAATAAATAAATCTTTTTAAAAAAGAAGGAAAGAAAGACATTGTATCACTTCTCCAACTCTTTGGAATTGTCCTACGGAATCAGGGTAGAGTTTTGGTTATTTGCTTGGGTTTTTGTTTGTTTGTTTGTTTGTTTTGTTTTTGTGAAAAGTGTCTTGCTAGGTAGCCCAGGATAGTATCAAATTCTTATCTTACTGCCTCAGTCTCCTGAGTTAGGAGTAAAGACATTTGCTAACATGTCCTGATGTGGGAATGTCATATATCAATCTTTTGATTTCATTGGTTAAGTAATAAACAAACTGCTTGGGCTCATAGCTTAGAACATAGGTGGGTGGAGTAAACAGAACAGAATGCTGGAAGGAAGAGGAAGTGAGCAGAGACTAGACAGCTCTCCTCTCGGGAGCAGACGCCTCAGGAGAGACGCCATGCCCTGCTCCTGGGCAGACACACACGATGAAGCTCCGACCCAGGATGGACGTAGGCTAGAATCTTCCCGGTAAGCGCACCTAGCTGTGCTACATAGAATATTAGAAATGGGCTAGTCCAGGTGCGAGAGTTAGCCTAGAAAAGGCTAGATAGAAATGGGCCAAGCAGTGATTAAAAGAATACAGTGTCCGTGTAATTATTTCAGGGCATAAGCTAGCCAGGTGGCCGGGGTGCTAGGAATGCAGCCCCGCCACTCCTATTACTACAATGTCCAGACAGACTTTTTAAAATTTATTTGACCTTACTGAGTCAGGGCCTCACTATTTAGCATTGGCCAGCCAGGACTCTCTATACAGACCAGGCTGGCCTTGAACACACAGCAACCCACCTGCTTCTACTGCCTGGATGATGAGATTAAAGGCTTGTGGCACCACACCTGGCTCATCGGAGAAAACCGAGGCACCATTCACCTGCCTAGGACTAGACATCCCATAAGAACCCCACCACCTACCCCCAGAGCCTCTATTTACAGACATCACGCTATGTCATTCCCCACGGAACCAAGGTGAGGAGTCCAGGCTCACCTGTCGTGTGATGTGCCACAGCCTTTGCCAACATTGTCTTCCCACAGCCAGGTGGGCCGTACATGAGGACTCCCCGGGGAGGGTCGATGCCGATCTGAGAGAGGCAAAGGATGAGCCACGGGATCCTGTCAACAACATGGAAGCCCGCTAGGCCTCTCCCTGCCCTCACCTCCTCAGCCTCACCTGCTTGTAGAGCTCGAAGTGTGTGAGCGGGAGCTCCACGGCCTCCCGCACCTCCTGCTTCTGGATGTCCATGCCTCCAATATCCGCATACATCACATCTGGCTTCTGGTCTGAGGTGAGCATCATGATGCTGCTGTCGGCCTCAGGAGGCAGCACGTCCACCAGCGCATTGCTGTGTTTGTGCAAGGCCACGGAGGCATTGGGCTTGAGCAGCTCCCGGTCAATGGTACTTAGGATGCGCACATAATAGTTAGAACCTTTGGAAAGGGGACAGGAAGGAAAAAGAGAAGATGAAAAGGCCGAGACATGACATCGCTCCTTCCCCACTCCCCTCAGCCCACAGACGGCACTTCCTGAGTTTTCACACTTCGGTCCGGATCAGCCCTTCCTGGCCTCCAGTTTTGCCTCCTCCAATCTAGCCCCATGCTCACACTTCCTTGTCTACAGTACTGGTCTCCTTGAGTTCTAGCTCTGGTGTCCCACACGCTGTCTTCAGGATGTCCTTGGGTATCTTTCAATGTGTCCCAACACTATCCTGTATTTTTCTCTGAACTGTGCTGTTGCTCCTGGATCTGTGTCAAGGGTGCCCTTGTCCTTGAGTTCCCAGTCAGGACTTCCCACCCAACCTCCCAAATCTATTTACCCAGTCCCTCCTCTGCCCTCACCTATTCTACAACTAAACCCTGCCCTCATTCGGACCTACAGTCTACCTAAGTCTCTGCATGAATTCCTGGTTACCAGCCTCTGTCCCTCTTCCCCAGTCTACTCCCTATAGTTACACTAACAACGCACAACAAGACCTGACTATGAAGCTGGACCACTCTCACAACAACCTCACCTCCCCGTGCTGCCTCCCTACAAACCTACCCTCCAATCACAGCCCCTCAGGGAGCCCCCACTGTCTTAAGTCTCCCGTTCGAAGACACGGGCTTCATCCTGCACAACACTCTCTGTTTACTCCCTCACAGCCCGCCCGCTCAATCCCAAGTGGTCATACAGCTTTATCCAGATCCTTGCTAGGCACACGGCTCAGGCCAGAGCAGTAGTGGCCAGAAGCAGGCCAGGGTAATGGCAGGGCATGGATTTATGTTCATTAACAGCAGCCACTGAACGCTGAGTCCTCAACAGAGCCCAAAGTCTTCTGACCTGCTCCCACTGCTTTCAAGCTGCAGCTCCTAACCCAGCAGCGGTTGTGAAATTAACTCAGCGTGGCGTGACCTTAAGTTTGTTTAAATCAAACAGACGACAAAGAGGCACACTACACACAGGGTAGATAACCACAGTTGGACTTTGTGGGAGATGAGGTCTTTCTATGTAGTCCCAGAATACACTAGGTAGACCAGGCTGGCCTCAAACTCACAGAGATCCTCCTGCCCCTGCCTCCTCAGTGCTGAGATTAAAGGTGTACACCATCACCTGGCTAGTGAATATTTTACATACATGCACACATGAATTGAGGCAGAAAAAGACATTCCATAAATAAAATATGTATCTACTTTTGGATTAATCAATCCTCTGGCCATTACATCACCCTATCTTGCTATAATACGTGACAATTCCCAGTTCCTGGCCCATGGAAGAATCAGGTGTTGGACAGAAGAACCAGGGACGTTCTCCCACCTGCCCACCCACTCACCTGTGGTCGAGCCCACAATGGCTGTGTTCTGATCCACAGCCTCCAGAAACTGGCCAATGACCAATGGGATGCTCTGGATTCGCTTTACTTCCTCCTGGGCGTGTAGGAATTCTTTCTTCAGATTCTTCTGCTCGTCTTTGATGTACTCCTCCTGGACCTCCAGGAACTCCAGCTCCTGCTGCAGCTTCTGGAAGCACAGAGCAAAGGGCTGTCTGCAGGCCTTGCCAAGCAGCGTGGAGGAACGGGGGCAGTATGTGATGCGGGCCCTATGCAGTATGCAGGTTCCGGGTTAGGGTTAGGGTTGAACACACCTTGTAGCGGCTGTATAGGTCCTCCAGGTCCTCAGGCTCAGGCCCCAGAAAGGACAGGCCAGTCTGGGGCCGAGACACAGACAGTGCTGGGATGTCATCCTGTAAAAGAAAAGGAAAACCTGGCACTGGAAGCAGAGAATCATCTCATGAAATCAGCTGGAGCTGTCTTCCCATTCACCAACTCACTCTGCCTCTCGTACCCGACGTAATTCAATTTCTCGAAATAAACACGGGAACTGCTCGATCCCCAATGCATATTTCTCATATCAGGCCCCTTAAACTTTTTATTTCAACATCTCCTCCCATCGGCTATTATAATGCCCCTAGCTAGGATGCAGGTGTTACAACTCCATACCAGATCCCTGCATCCAGGTCCCCTCAAGAGGTTCTAAAAGCCACATGGTTTTTAAGGTCAGGTCGCATTCGGAGTCTCATTACTCAGTTTCCCCCCAAAAGCTTTCATGTCAGACTCCCAACTTGCATTAAGGCCAAAGGTCACTCAGCCAAGCCACAAATAATACTTAACGCCTCCCCGTCCAAGCTACTGGTCCAGGGACATACCTAGGCCACAGGGTCCCATTACATCATTCTCCACCAGGTCCAACCCCCAAACCGAAAAGCTACTGAGCACTGCTATCCAGGCCTACAAATCTGTCTTTTAAAGAAAGTCTTTAAGCTTAACGCCACTTTCCTCTCCCACTCTGCTTGTTGAGCTCCACCGCCCTCCTGACAACTCGGCTACCCAGCCAGGCCTCGGGACCACTCAAGGGTCTATACCGAGGCGTCTGAAAGCACCCAGCCCCGAGCCTGGTTCCTGGAAGGCGCTCAGCACCGCCACTCGGGCCTAGCTCGCGCACAGAAAGCCAGATTCTCACCGCACCTGAACCTTCTCCACCAAAATGCCTATCTCCTCCATAGTGACCAAGCCGGCCTCCGTGCAGCCCGGCTAGTCACGGCTTCCGCTGACGCCAGCGGAAGTACTTCGCATAGAGCATCTTGGGAAACGTAGTTTAAGGCATGATCGAGGCCTGGCAGGATGGGCGGAATAGCTGGAAGGGCGGGAAAGACCGGGTCCTAGGCTCCGCCCCCAAGGTGCGACCCTGGGCTTTGCGCTGCCCGCGGGCGCGCGAGACGGTCTGCGCGTGCGCAGCTGCGCTCACTCGGCGCCATCTCGCTCTGCGGCAGCTCGCGCGGCGTAGGGATTTTTCTCCTGTAGGTGGCGCGGCTGCGTCGCTCTTGAAGAAAGTCTCCGGAGTTTTGTTAGAGGGATTCTCAGGTTGAGTTAAGTTAAAACAGACGTGAGGTGTCGGAAAAGCACGAGTTCGGTTCTCCGGAAGAATTGTCTCTGGCCGCCACCTGCAGAGAGACGCAAAGGCCCCAGAACGCTGAGGAGCCAATCAGATCGCACCAAAGCTAGAGACGTGAGGCAGCTGCAGGTCCTGTCGAATCTTTTCTTCTCTTTCTTCGTCATTGGGGGCGCGGGGCGGAGAGATGGTTCAGCGCTTAAGAGAACTTGATGCTCTTCTAGAATATCCGAGTTCGGGTCCCAGCGCAGACGTGGGGCCGCTCGCTAACACATAGAACCGACTCCTCTGGCTTCTGCGGGCACCTGCACTCGAGTACACATCCCCACTTGCAGAATCACACATTAATACATAATTAAAAATAATAGAAAGTAGTCTTTCTGGAAAGGATTTTATTTTTAATTCCGTGTGTACGTGTATATCGGAGCGGGAGTTCGTGCACATGGATGCAGTACACGCGGGGGCCAGAAGAGGGCAGAGGAGTCTGGCACTGCCTTTATTAGTGCTATTTGCCTTCCTGGTGCTTGGTAGTGGAGCTTGGGATCTTTGATTCGCTGAGCAAGCCCAGCTAAAAGTCTTGATATGCGTTATGTTCTCTTTCACACAGAAGGAAAGAGGTGTCAAGCCTTGAAGTCGCTTGAGCAGCTGGCAGGAATGGCAAAGCGTGGCTGGAGCCTAGATCTGTCTGTGCTCATGGTCCCGGGGACATACACTGCCACTCTTCACAACGGCTACAGGTTTTGTTGAGTCAACTTTTTATTAGCGTATAAGTGGGTAGCAGTTACATAGGTCTGCCCAAATTGAACTCCCTGTACGTTCTGTATGGTATGGAGAATGACCTACGATAGCCGTGACCCTGGCCTTTCCTCCATCACCTGAGGAATTGAAAAGCAAGAAACCAGTTCAGCTCAAAGGGAAAGTGAAGTTTATTGGCTAGCAACGCAGATATCTGAGGGAGGTTGGGTTTTTATTTGGGTTTAAGATGTACCCCCTTCCCCCCCTCCCCCAAAGTGATTTTCACTCCTTCCTATTGGTTTAGTGGTGTTTATGTGTCCCTTCTGGAAGCAGGCCTCTGTCTTGGTCCACTGGTACAGATATAACTGACTTGTAGATCGGCTGAGGTAAGAGGGGCACCCCAGTGTTCTCTCCTTTTTGTGGTGTTACAGGTACAGAGAGACCCACACTATATGAGGGAAAGACATATATGTTTCAGGGAAATGGGTGCTGGGTGCAGACTCCACCAAGAAATGGAAATTCACCATTTTTTGGAGGCAAAAGAAAAATCAGCTATATATTTGTATATATCAAAATAAAAATAGGAAGTAGCAGACAGACAACAAAACATCATCAAATTGTGAGTTTTCAACATTCAGCAGAGATGACTAAAGGCGCTGCATAAAGGCAGCTGGAATCTCCCCCTGGAAAGTCCCGGGTGGATCAGAGCGTCCTCCAAGAAGAACAAATGCAAGCAGGATACAACAGATAATACTATCAGATTGGACACTCACAGTCATCCATCAGAAATGATTCGGGAAGCCCTGCTGAGGCAACCAAGCTCACTGGAGACACCTGGCTGGAAAAAAGTGTCCTCTCGGGTGAGGCTTCCAAGGAAAAGAACAAATGCAGGCGGCAGGCAGATAACAACAAAGCTGGTGGAAGGGGCCACTGCTGCTTGATCGAGAGTTCCAGCTGGGTAGAGGGCTCTCACCGTGGCCTTGAGTCGGCTCCTGCTTCCTGCTCCAGCCATTTTTATACCATCAGTACGCTTCCAGCAGCGCCTCTGATGGAAGTTGTGTACCTTCCAGTTGTTCACAAGGACACAAGGGTTTGTCACTGCTGTTATTTTACATTTCTTTATTCTGAGGGTGGGGTGCATATACTAAACTTGTAGGTCAGCTCTCACCTTCTACCACCTAAGTCCTGGATATCAGACTTTTATTTTTATTTATGTGTATGTGTGTGCACTGTGTGTGCACAGAAGCCCTTGGAGGTCAGAAGATCTGATGGAAACTCTGGAACTAGAGTTACAGGTAGTTGTGAGCCACTGGGTGGTACCAGGAATTGAACCCAGGTCCTCTGGAAGAGCAGAAAGTGCTCTTAATCACTGAGCCATCTCTCCAGTCCTCCTCTTGGACACAATGTTTTTAAGTACACTTCTTACTGATGTAGGATTCCCCTCTGTATTCTGTGAGTATCGTTGGTTAATAAAGGAACTGCTTTGGGCCTATAACAGCTATAGGGGAACAGATCTAGGTGGGGAAAACTAAACAGAATGCTGGGAGAAAGGAGGTGGAGTCAGAGAGAAGCCATGTAGCCCTGCTGGAGCCAGATAGAACCTTACCCAGTAAGCCACAACCACACGGTGATACACAGATTACTAGAATGGGTTAAATTAAGATATAAGTGTTAGCCAGTAAGAAGCTAGAGCTAATGGACCAAGCAGTGTTTTAAATAATATAGTTTCTGTGTGATTATTTCAGGGTTGAGCAGCCGGGAACCAACAAGTGGCAAACCAACAAGTGACTCTCTCCTCCTACATCTTGCTGTTTTCCTTTCACCTCGTTACAGAGTTAGAGGGATCAACTTCCCCTTGGACATGGCTTTGAGGAGGACAAATTGAGACAAACATGTTTGGGTCTGAAACAGAGGGCCAACTCCATTTGGCCACTTCTCAGTGAGCTCATGCATCATATGGCCGTTCACCAATACAATGCACATTGCACCATATAGTATTACCCAGATCATACAACCAAGCATTAGCAGCTCCCACGGCACCCCATACTCTCTTTCCCCCAGTAAAAGCGTTTACTCACCCTGACAAAGATGACATTGATTTGAATTTTCTTCAGACCTCCCCAGTATATTGTGTTTACCCTTTTATAAACTTATTATGTTGGTGAGATTCTGTTGTGTGTAAAAATAGTTCTTTTTACTTTTGAGTGGTTTCCAGTGGGGTATATCCAAGGACATTTCTTTCAGTAAACATACACATTTATTTGAGGAATATACCCAAGAGTGGAATTGGTGGCTGAAGGGCTGGCTCGGTCAGTAGAACACAAGCACGAAGACCTAAATTTGTTCCTTGGAACCCACACGGTCCCTGTGCTGAGGAGATGGAGAAGGAGAGTCCTGACAGCTCACTGGCCTGCCTGTGTAGCCTAATTAGTGCGCCCAGGCCAATTAGAGACTTAAAGGAGGCAGATGGCATTCCTGAGGATGACGCCCAAGGTTGCCCTTTAGCATCTACACACACCCATGCACGATGACATGTTCACATACACAACACGGAATTTTTAAATGAGCAGAATTGGAGGTCATAGGTGCACAGAACTGTTTGTAGCTTTGTTGTCATACCAGTAACCAGTTTTGCACACTTTCCTACTTAGATTGTCGTCACACTGAACACTGTACACTTACTTTTGGCCAGACAAATTCCAACCCATGATCTCCTGATCTTCATAAACATTTACAAATGAGGAAACTAGAGTGTGGTGAGAAATCCCTTCCACTGGTTCACAAAGAGAACCAGTGTGGCTGCCAGCCAGCCCCCGAATCAAGACGCGGAGACTTCATTATGAATGTTCAGCCTTCTGCCTGTCCCCCCAGCTCTTGTAACTTAATTTAACTCTACATCTACGTTTTGCCTTGGGGATTTTACCTTTCTTTCTTTGTGTGTGTCCTACTCTGTGTCTGTCTGTCTGGCAGCTGCCTGTCTGGCTAACCCCCAGGCATCTCCCTCTCTGTGTCCTTCATAATCTCTCTCCAGCATAGATTCCCCCTCCTGTTTATTCTCTCTGCCAGGCAGCCCTGTCTTTCCCTCTACTGCCTAGCTATTGGCCATTCCGCTTTTTATTACTAACCAGGTGCCTATGCCAGGCAAGGTAAAACAGCAACACCTCTTTATATAGTTGAACAAATGCAGCATAAACAAATGTAACACGTCTTCACGTAGTTAAAGTAATAGTACACAACACCAGTGGTTCCTGCCCAGTGCCAGCTCTATGCTCAGGGAACTCAGAGGTTAGTCATACCTGGCCCAGCCTCCCTGTTTATAGGGCAAACATTTTTTATTTTCCACAGAAGGAAAAGAACAAGAATAAAATGGATAACTTTTTAATTCCATCTTTCATCTTACGTCTAAAAGACATTCCATAACTTTCCTTATGACTTAAAATCTATGACCTAAAACAAAACCCATGATCTGCCATTTAATTCAAGTCACTCTAGTTTCCAACCATCTTGGCCAGGTCTGTGTGGCTCTTGGCCGGTACTGTTGTGGCATATCCACCAGAGAAGAATGCCAATAGGAAGTCTTCACACTGGGTGTTCAACACCCCAGTGTAGCTCCGCACCTTTCTCAGGGTGAGCTTTCAAGTGCAACACCATTTCCTGCTTGGCACACTTCAGTTAAAAGAACCATCAGCCAGAAGCAGAACTCAGAGGCCAAAAAAAGAAAGGTTATACATTTAGAGATTTCCCCAGAACTATGGTCTTAGATGGATTAGGTCTTAGTTTCAGTTTTGGCAGGTGGTGCTATCTGTGTGCTAGGTTTTACAGCCTGAATGGCACTTCCATCATGGAGTCAGTTGTGCTAAGGTTGGGGATCCTGTTACATACTTTACCTCATTTTCTTATCTTTCACAGCAACCTTAGAAAGTTGATGGCAGAAGTAAGCAGTAGTTGTGAAATTTGTTTTGGTTTTGTCTTTTGAGATCACTCCATGTGTCTGTTGACTGGCTTGGAGCTCACTCTGTAGACCAGGCTGGCCTCAAACTCAGAGATCCATCTGCCTCTGCTTTGTGAGTGCTGGGATTAAAGGCGTGCACCACCACACTGCTTACATTAAGGATTGCTTTATACATCCCATCAGATTTAATCCTCAGAGTGGTACTTGAAGTGAAAACTCTAGTTTTCCTATGCCCTCAGGTCCTGCGTAAGAAACCAGGTGCAGGAAGTGAAGTTACTTGCCAAGCACTCAGCAAGTAAATAACAGAGATAGCACTAGCGCCAGGTAGTTATATTGGTGTGTGGACGTCTTACACAGGTAAGACAGTCTTCCACAAGGTTTAGGAGATTCAGTGCTCTCGGGAGGTTTTCAAGCTAGACCACCTTTCCCTGTACTGTATTATTAGGATCCTTCATTCCACTCACCAGAGACGCCCTTGGGGGCTGTTTAACACATCGGGAAATGAGAATCAAGAAAACTCACTTAGCTTCATCTCTTCAGATTTCTCTCTGTTCTGCCACCATCTAAAACCCTGACCAGGAGCCGGGCGGTAGTGGTGCACAGAGACAGGCAGATCTCTGTGAGTTCAAGGCCAGCCTGGTCTACAAAGCAAGTTCCAGGACAAGCCCTAAAGCTCCAAAACAAAAACGGAAGGAAGGAAGGAAGGAAGGAAGGAAGGAAGGAAGAAACCTTGACCAGTCTCATGGTCTCATAGCTGGGACTTGGGGCTCTGGGAGAGGCTCAGTGGACAGGAGCAGGCAAGCAAGTAAATGAAGATTGGCAGGCTGATTGAGAAGGCAGTTCTCATCAACAGGAAGCACTCAGCACCCAGCTCCAGTTAAGGCTGTCTTAACATGCCAGAATGTTGGTTCATTGTTCCCAGGTCTGATGTTGCAAGAGAAGTCCAAAGCTGAGTGCTGGAAGTTTGGGGGTAGAGTGGTTGCCTACCTGTGTTGATACCCAGCACACCTTCAAAATGTTGGGGAACCCAGACTCCTAATTAAAATCTTTGAACTTTAAAATGTTGACATTTTAAACTGTGTAAAACTTAACAAACACTATGCAGGTTAAGAGAGAAGCATCTGTATGCTTCAGTCAGGTGTCATGAGTCCTGGTGTGTACTCATCTTGTCCCCAGTATTGCTCTAAAGGTCAAGGAAGGAAGGAAGGACTTCCCAGTGCTAGGAGAGAGATGGAAGAAGGGTTTGACCTCTCAGAAGAGAGCAAGAATAACAGCAAAAGGAAGAAATGTTAAACTTGAGGAAAACAACTGAGTATTTAAGGTTAAGTAAACTTAAACACTTTTTTCCATTTTATTTTTTCATTTCATGAGTGTGTGTTTTCCCTGTAGGTATGTCTGTACACTGTGTGCATACAGTGCCCAAGGAGGTCAGAAGATGGTGTCTGACCACCTGGGACTGGAGTTGGTTGTGAGCCACCATGTGGGTCCTGGGAGTTGAACCCTGTAGTAGCCAACTTGTAAGCCAGAATGGACTCCAGGTGGAAACTGAGTCACATGTGGGCTACCACAGAACCCGGGTCCTCTGGAAGAATAGGTAGTATTTTAACACCAAGCCATCTGTTCAGCCTAGGTCAATAAACTTTGAGACCTTCGTTATGGGCTATCCTATAACTTAAAGGATTTAGTGAAGTATTCACAAATAATACTTTAGAAAGGAAAACTAAGGCCAGGGGTTATGGAACACACCTTCAATCCCAGCACTCAGGAAGCAGAGGCAGGCACATGTGTGATCTACATAGCAGATTGTGAGACCCTGTCTCAAAAAAAAAATTAACAAAATAAAAAAGGATAAATCTTTTTCGGAAATCTTTTTAGTTTAAATTTTCAAAGTTAAAGAAAACTTCTAAGAACTGCTCACACTCTTAGCCTGGGTTTTCTCCACACATGTGTGTACAATATATATGTTTCCATGATATACCAAAACCCTTCTAGAATTTCTATGTGGATTGCACTCAGGAAGGCCTGACATTGTAGCGGTATTGACACTGCTTATCTATACCCTGTGATAGGCCTTCTTTATTCTTTCCCCCCTTTCAGCCCAGATTATCCATATAACTCAGTATGCTTATACCTATTCACTTCCTTAAACAATGCCTTTATGAAGTAGCTAGACCCAATCTATAATAAATAGTACATATTTCAGATTCTGCTGCTTTTTATTAAGGAACCAGTTGGATTGTGTGTGCAGGCCTGAAGAGAGCTCCTGGGAGTCTGTTCTTGCCTTCTACCATGTGGGACTTAGGGGTGGAAGCCAGATTGTCAGACTTGCTGGCACATCTGTCTTACTGGCCCAATATACTGCCACGTATTTAAAGTGTACAATTTGATATGGTTTGGTGTTTTTATACATTCATAAAACCATCATCAGAATTAAGATAATAAATGTCTCTTCTACACTTTAATGTTCTTTAATTATATATAAATATATAATGTTTATATTCATTTCTGTTCTTCCTCTGTCTTTGAAACTACACCGAAGAAATTATATAACTAAATAGCATGTGCTCTTTCACTCAGTAGAATTATTCTGGGATTT